TGTAGGAAAATAAAATTTATATATAAATATATTTTTATAGTACAATTATTATAAAACATTTCAAAAAAATAATAACAATCAAAACTTGTGAAAAAAGTTTTTTCTTCTAGTTTTTTTCCTCATTTTTCTTATATTTTATTCAAACTAAGTGTGGCGTTAGGTACACGTTTGATATCATTATATAGCACTATCTGTCCTCTAAAAAACAATATATAATATGTGTGGGTACATTTAGTAAGAAAGTATATTACTGCCGTGGAAGAACCACACAGCAAAAATGTAAACAGTTTGTCAGTCATTTATGAACAGAAACTGAAAACTAGCTCAGGCATGAAGGGGTTAATGCAGAACAGTACCCTGTTTGCTTTGCTGGCTGCTGCTTGGCATTGCATGCTTTTGCCGAATCTGTGATCTTTGAGCACCCCCAGGTCCCTTTCCATGTCTCTCTTCCCTAATGCCCTAATGCACCCTCCCCCCTCCCCCGATAGCAGTTTGCGCACTCCATCTTTGCACCAATGTGCATAACTTTACATTTTTCAAAACAAATCGCATATGTGAATGTACAGCCCATGCTTCAATTTTATCCAGGTCTTGTAGAAGTGCACATATCTCCTGTTTGGAATTTACTGCCCTACACAGTTTTGTATTGTTGGCAAAAATGACAATCACACTATCTACCCCAAGCTCTATGTCGTTGATGAATAGGATAAATAGGACTAGTCCCAGGACTGACCCCTCGGGCACTCCACTCCCGACTTTTGCCCAATTAGGGAATTACCCATTTATTACTACCCTCTCAGTCTGTTCTTGCAGCCAGTTTTCCATCCATGTGCAAACAGTTTCCTGCACACCGATAGCCCTAAGTTTGTGAATCTAACATTTGTGGAGTACGGTATTGAACGATTTAGCAAAGTACAGATATACCACATCTACTGGTATTCATCATTCTAAATTAGCACTGACCTCCTCATAAAAGGTGAATAGATTGGTCTGACAAGAACGGTCCTTCATGAAGCCATGTTGGTTTCTACTTACGATACCAGTTTTATTCGCAAATTCCTGCATGTAGTCCCTTATCATGCCTTCAAACATTTTACACACTATTGACGTTAAGCTGACTGGCCTATAGTTACCTGGTGTACTCCATTTCCCCTTTTTGTATATTGGTACCACACATGCTCTCCGCCAATCATCCGGTACTGTACCAGTCATTAGTGTCCATAAAGATTATGTACAGTGGTCTGCCTATGACCTGGCTAAGTTCCTTAATGACCCGTGGATGTAACCCATCAGCTCCTGGGGATTTGTTTACATTTAATCTTTCTAGCCTCTGTACTACTCTGCTCTCTGACAGCCACTGAGATACGTCAAAACTTTTATTATTGCTCCTGCAGTCCTGGTCGTTAACCATGTCCGTCTCATCTGTAAAAACAGAAGAAAATAATTTAACATATTCACTTTCTCCCTGCCACTGGTACAGTAGCTAACCTCCCCTCTTTGTCTATTTTTGGGCCTACATGTTCTGTCCTTACCCTTTTGCTATTTATATATTTAAAGAATTTCTTGGGGTTCTGTTTGCTTCATGCTGCTATCTGCTCTTTGTATTCTATTTTTGCAATCCTGAATGCTCTTTTACATTTTTTGTTGCAATACTTGTAGTTTTTGAATGCCGATTATGACCCCTCTGACTTATATTTATTGAAGGCCTTGTCCTTTTTGAATGATGTGTTGTTTTACCTGGCTAGCTAACCACCCTGATCTAGCTTTCCCGTTTTTGAACTTATTGGTAAACGGGATGCACTGTTATTTAAGATTTCCTTGAAACTATCCCATTTTTCTTCAGTGTTCGTATTCAGGAAGATTGCATTCCAGTTTATGTCTTCTAGTAGGTTTCTCAGTTTATTGCAGTTAGCCTTCCTAAAATTGAGTGTTTATGCCGACATGTCTATGTTTCCTGGAATTTACAGTGAACATTTTCATTCTATGATCAATGCACCCTAGGTTCTCCGCGATTTCCATATGTCAGCAAATTGGCAACATGCATCCCACAAAGTATGGTGCTCAAGTCAGCTCACTCAACTTTCAGAAGATGAGGACACCTCTAAAAAAAAAAAAAAAACCCTACAGCATTAATCATTGCATTTATGGCCAATCTAAAAGACTTAACCAACAAGACAATATTAAGTCCTCATAAATAAGGAAACTATTAGCAGGAGCTTAAAACTTGTGCTGCATAAAGCTCTTTTGTAGACACAGCCTGAAGGATTTATTGAACTCTGAAGCAATGCCCACCAATAATCAGTTCCATGTTCATGTTGTCTGTTCAATAATCCCTTCAGGAAGCTGTACATACATGGTCTGCTTAAAACTGTATTTGTCATCTTTTTGGAGCTTAAATTGCAACTTCTGTTCCACTGCATGGTCATCATATTAATTAGGGAGTAGTGATGCTTTTGCTCTGAAGACGTTCAAGTTGAATGAAACGCTTCAGCAGTATGCAACACACTAAGAAAAGGCCTATGGATTCCCTTTGGAGGCAGCTTGCAACTCTTTCCCAAGTGGGACTTTCATGGACTCCATGCAGGACTAACACTCCTAAGAAATCAATCTATGGGTGAGATCTCACACTCTGAAAATCTTTTGTTTCTTATGTTGCATGTGGAGTGACTATTCAAGTTTACTTTATGTGGATGGCATATCCAGGATGACCTAAAGTACTTGAAGTGGGTTATACAGTACATTTACCTCACATCCTACACAATGATGATAGTATACTGAATTTTTATATTCCCCATACAGGCTATACGAGATTGTTGGATGTCAATTATAATTCATATGGGCACTGTGTAACAAGGTACTTGTAGTATCAAGCACCTCAGGACGCACAGGGTGTCACCACCATACACATATGAAGTTATTCCTGACATACAATTTCAGCTCTGGAGATCCACCAATCAAAGTCTTTTTGGTGGATTTGTTTCTACAATATGCCCTCTTGAAGGAATGTATTCCACTTATGTGGACACGTAAATATCCAAGTTGGCTGCTTGCCATGTATACATATGCTTCCATCCCAAGTGGATGGTGATAAGTAATGACTTTGGGACACTTGGACAATCATCAGGAATGCACATTGAGCTGAATTGTTTTTTCATTTATCATTTGTTTTGTCTTCTGTGTAGGGGGGTTTATGGGGACCAAAATCTTTTTTAGAATTAGATATTTGCATATATATGTAATTGGGGCCCTTTTGGGGGTTCAATAAAAACTTTTTTTTTATATAAACACAAAGGTTACGACTTTTTTTGACCATTGACTAAACAAACATGTGTTCTATCTGGACTCTTTAATGACGTTGATTAGTGGGAACCATTTGGTCTTTGATATTAATTAGGAGTTAGTATCTAGTATCAAGTCAAACAATAAAAAATGTTCCTATTACCTTGATCTTAGGAGTTATGATGGTTAAGCTGGCCAAACTCAAGCTGTGGGTGGCCCTGTTGGCATCACTCCATTTGCCAAAAGCAGACTCTTCAATTAAATCTTTTTCATAGTATGCAGAAAAATTGTTGGCCAAAAGGTAACTGCAGCCAGTCAGCTGCAGTCACTGTTTGCTGATTCTGATAGCTGAGGGCACTGGCTGTCAGGATACAATAGCTCAGCAGGGAAGAATCAGTGTGGATGGGGGATCGATACATTTTTTTTTCATTCAGCTCATTGGGTTAAACAAGGAAAAAATATAGCGTATGGCCAGCTTTAGTCTTGTTTTATATATGCACTGCCTGGCCCAAAAAAAAGTCACACTCTAATATTTTGTTGGACCACCTTTAGCTTTAAATCCGGCCCGCATTTGCCATGGCATCTTTTCCATAAGCTTATGCAATGTCACAACATTTATTTCTATTCAGAGTTGCATTAATCTTGTAGTGATGGTGGGAGATTCGGACCTCTGTGTAAAGTCTTCTCCAGCACATCCCAAAGATTCTCAATGGGGTTAAGGTCTGGACTCTGTGGTGGCCAATCTATGTTTGATAATGATGTCTCATGATCCCTGAACCACTCTTTCACAATTTGAACCTGATGAATCCTGGCGTTGTCATCTTGGAATATGCCCAATGTGCCATCAGGGAAGAAAAAATCCATTGATGTTTTAAGGAATGAGAAGCTACTCACTGCATCAGTTAGATTTACATAACTTGTTGCCAGAAGAAACATATTAATCACTGCAGTAATTATCCAATGGAAGACTCTTGCCTATTTGCTTAGCTAAATCCAGGCGGTGACTTTTTTTTTGGCCAGGCAGTGTATTATAAAATATATAAAACTATGAAAACTTTGCAGGTTTCTACTAGAAGGACAACATAATGTGCTGACACGCTGGTCTGAAAGTGTTAACGTGAACTGCATTTTTCAGGAAATGAACATTTTACAAATATAATGTCAATAGGAAATATCCCAGGCCATCTCTTTATTTATGTCTTTGCTAAAGACATGACAGTGTTTCCTTTTACATAATCTCTTTCTTTGACAATCAATCAAAATTGAAAAAAATTAAAATAACACAGGAGAAAGTGACAGAAATTTGGAGAAAGTATTACCTCTGTGCAGTTTTTTCCTTTGCTTTTTGTCTCTCAGTCTCACTTCCATAAGGGCCATGGGGGGATACTGAGATGAGCTCAATTTCTTTGCTTCGTAATAGTTGTTTTTGTTCTTTGAAAAGGCACTGGATCATATCCCAAAACTGCCTGCAGCAATAGACCTGAAAAAGAGTGTCATAAGATACAGTGATATATAATAGCAGAAATGCATGCTGAAAATGATTTCTTTATTGTCAATGTTATAACTTGCTATACAGTCACAGATCTGCCCACTGAACCTAAAGGCCCATTACACTTGTGCATATGTAGTCACACTATTTAATGCATGCAAGTGTGCACATTTTGTGAGTTTTAGACATGCTTTTCTTTCTTCCATTCGTTACGGTGTAGTAAGGGAAAGCCATTTCTTTATAAAGACTTCCCATTGTGTAAATGTATTAAAATGAGATGAGAAGATATGGCCTAATTAATCCTAGGCCTTCATCCAAGGTGTTGAGTAGGGTTGAGGTCAGGGACACTCAAATTCTCCACAACAAACTCATTAAACCATGACTTTATGGATCTGGCTCTGTGCTGAAACAGAAAATGCCTTCCCTAAAATGTTTTGCAAGGCTGGGAGTGAACAGTTGTCTAAAATACCTTTGCTTAATGTAGCATTAACAGTATCCTTCACTGGAAACACCTAAGGTCAGTAATTTGGAGGCCATATAGCATATCTAGTGGAAATGTTTAGCCTTTAGTGCAGGTATTTTAGGAATACACACTGATCTTGTATAAGTGTATTGCCCAGTGTTATCCTGACTGGAACTCTCTATCAGAGGATAACTGTACAGACAGCTCTGAAATAAAGCATTTTCGTTGTTTGCCTGCTACTGCTGCTGAAGCAGTTACTCATACCTGACCTTAGTCTCAAGTCAGAGTGGACCTTCACTCCCAAAATTGACATTTCCTCCCTGCAATCTTGTCCCCATCCGCAATATACAAAAATCAATTTTTTAATCTCTGGCCTGCCATTCTGCCTCTAGGGGCAGGATACACATTGCCGTAGGTCGGATCTGGTGACACGTCATCGGAGGCTGGCTGCAAGATCCTGGAAGTCAGCTGTCTCTGATAATGTTAGGAAGGGAAAATGGTGGTGCAGGAGCAGTGGAGCAGCAGATCATAGAAGGACAACGTTGGATTTGTTGGGCACGTGAGTATGTTTTCTAAATAAAACCCTAGATCAGGCCTCAAAATTTCCACTCTTCCCCTCGCAATTGGCGAGTGAGAATTGCGTGGGGGCGAGTGGGTGTCATCAAGGGGGTGCGCCGCCAGCGGGACCAGGGATGGGACACTACCGCAACGGCGAATGCTCACTTCTGTTCCCTCTTCTCCTACTCTATAACTGCAGCTACAGAGCGGCCAAGGAGGAGAAGAGAGAACAGAAGCGAACGATCGCCACGGCGGTTGTGTCCCACCCCTGGTCCTGCCGGCGGGGCGCACCCGCCGATGACATTCAGTTCTGCTGTCTTCCCTGTGGCTGTCTTCTGCAGCTTCCTCTGCCCACCTCAGCTGCCGGGCTGGGAGGAAGATTGCAGAGACAGTTTTATCTCCCTACATTCAGGATCTCTGTACCGCCCCCCCTCCCACCACTACCACCACCAGGAGAAAGAAGAGGGCACCTGAATACCACCTCTGCGCGTCACACTGACCTCTGCGCTGTGCGTCACACTGACCTCTGCGCTGTGCGTCACATTGACCTCTGTACTGCTAACCTCTGTACTGTGCGTTACATTACTGACCTCTGTACTGTGCGTCACACTGACCTCTGTACCGTGCCTTACATTACTGACCTCTGTACCGTGCGTTACATTACTGACCTCTGTACTGCTCATCTCTGTACTATGTGTCACACCACTGGCCTTTGTATTCGGCCTTGACCCACTGACTTCTGTAGTGTGCATTGTTACTGATCTCTGTACTCTGCGTCACACCGCTGACCTTGCGGATTTAAGGCCGGGGCAGGGTAGTAGTTAGGTGGGGCAACTCGTGGCGAGTAACTTTTAAGGCCTGGCTAGTAGCTCAGGACTTGAAATTTTGAGCCCTGCCCTAGATAACAGGTAAGAAGGGATTAAAAAAAGTGTGGGGATTAAAACATGTTAAAGATTATATGAGATTTCTGTGATTGGGTTTACATCCCCTTTAAAGCCAATGGGTCAGTATAATAACTTAGCATATAGCATTTTCTTAAGACAATCAGCAGTGGCAGATTCCATATTTCTTTTAGGGAGGATTCTCTCCAAAATTCAGGGCAGCAGATCAAGCAGCTCTAAATGAGGGTTTCATTAAAGAGAACCTGACAAGACAGGATTATGGGAACTCCCATTGCTGTCTTCTTTTTAAAGATACATTTGCCAACCTGATCCTCCTTTTACCACTTAGTGAGTCAAAACATGTATGTGCATATTAGATGATACACACATGGTTGGGGGGGGGGGGGG